GAGCAAGTTTGACACGACAAAACACGTATATGTGCAACTTGTTAAATATTATTTGTTCAATATGACCATAACCCCCTTCTCTGATCCCGCTGTTCTTAACCACGCGCCACATTGCTGATTTTGACCAGAATCGGTTTGACTAGATTGGATCGCATCCATAACTTCAATTTAGTACTTTCAACTCTAACCACGGAGTCAATGACCTCTTCCACCCGCTGTCTAACCCATTAACACAATTTACCATTTAATGACAAAAAATAGTCGTGGTCGCGAAACCATATTGAAGTTTAGTCCATCGAACTCTGCTTGAAGCCGTCCACTAAGTACAGGGTGACAGAATCTATTTCTATTGACTAGAATTTATCACCGAATTAATATATACGTTAAAAAGCTCGTACTTCGCTTCCAGTGTTGAGTCACAGAAAAAAAGTTTCAACTGGTTTCGAACTCAACGATTTGATGCAACAAATTCTGCACCAGGTTTCCATAAAATCGTCCATTTAATGAAATCAACTGAGTTTTGCATATTTAAGATAATTAGGAGGGTGTTAAATTTTCACAGTGACTCTTAATCGTTACGATGAGTGTCTTAAAATCTGATGATTTTTCATCTAATTTTCAGACGTTTTTTAGCTGTTTTATACATATGCGACAAAAAAAAATCATATTTGAGATCTATCTAAACAAGAATTTATCAAATGAATTCTTGTTAGTATGTTAGTATGTACCAGAATTTATTAAGCATTTATGGACAGTTTTTATTGCAGGTTCTGAAGAAGCTACTATATAGCTTGCACCTCAAGTTCACGGTCATTTACAATGACATAGGATTTATTTTCTTCTCACTGCGTCTTAACCAAATACGTAGCCCAGGCCTGCGTGCCTCAGCGGCTAAGAAGGCGCTGGTTGATCTGTTTTTGTATAAGGTTGTTTTGTACTTGCCGCTTCAGTTCTGTCCAGATTTATTTATACCCACTGACCGATTACGTAATATTCATGATGATATCTTTTTCGAACCTTCAAAATTGAGGAGCAGAAGAAAAACAATGCAATTTGGGAATGTATTCATCCGCAATGACGTACTTTTAAATTTTTTAAAGACAGTTTTCATTGTATACGAGGTAGATGTATTTTTTTGCTTCATTCTTCGAGCACGAAAGATTATTTTATGCCGTGCGCTCATCAACAAAACGCACTCGAAGTTCGCAACTGAATCTCCCATCACAAATGATTTCAATCGTTGGAAATTATATTAAAGAAAATCTAAGGCAATGAAGATCTTTCCTTCTGGCCATTTATTATAAACACATGAAAATTAAATGAATGATTTGATAGAGTGGACTCATTTCAACCTTTAACTCAGAAATATTCGCTCATATCAGGGAGTTCGGGAGTTGGAAGCATAAAGTAAAAAGAGTAAAACAGGACGGGACAAATCCCGCTTTTCTTTCGGTAAGACCATGCCGTGTTCACTCACTTGAGAAACCCCAAGTACCAGCATACTCACTGTAAAAACGCTTTCCGTTTTTGAGTTTGGGTTGCCGTAAGTCCGCGTTCAGGTTTTAGGATAACCACGGTTTCAACAACAAATTTCCTTTTTATTGAATGAAAAATTGTATCTGTAAGAACAAACATAAATATATTAACCCTATATACTTCAAAGTATGCTTATAATATTCAGATATAACAAATGATCATCAAAACTATAAATAAGTTATATAAAGGCATAAATCAACGCACCGAAATATTGTGGGCAGTTTTGACGCGGGCTACGAACAACTGATCTGACAAGAAACTATTTGATACGTCGTTGACTAGGTTTTACACTCTAAAGGTCTGATGAACAAGTAAATCGTAGGAGCGCATAAAAAATATACTATTAAAAACTAAGCTAACAAAAGGTTCGCTAAAAATATTTACACTCACCCTAAATAATTAAGCTACAATCTGCAGTTAATAGATGTTGCACTTCAGAGTTAATTGAATATTTTTCCATCAAGACCAACGAGAGATAACCTCAATTTTTTTACATAAGAAAATTCAATTTTGTAATAAAGCATTTGTTATTAAAGATATTTACATTGAAATTATTGGAAATTGGAAACCTACAGGAACATTTTAGGAGAAAAATTTGCCTGATATAATCAATATGGATGAAAAAATCTCCAATATCAGCGAAAAGCAGACCACCATTCGATCGTTACTTGCCTTCATTGCCTTGCATCTGGCGATATTATTTTATGCGTGTTCTTATTCGGTTACAATTCAGTTAGTAAACATTTCAGTTATTAAGTAGTACGGAAATTAAGTACGAAAATCCAAAATCAAAAGAAATAAATTCTACATTTTCAGCAATGAAAAAAAAAAACGAAGGATTGCGAGCACTCAATTTCATGAATAAATTTCCTATGCTGCAATATGGATATATACAACATAACGTTAGTGAAATTACATAACAGATATCGGTTCATTAACTAAGGTTATTATTGGGATAAGACACGTTGCTTCGAAACTGTGTTATTAAGATATTAACTATCTAATCCTGACCCAGCGAGTTACTGAAAGGCTGTTATCCAGCTCAGTCAGAGCCTGAAGCAGCGCGATAAGCGGCGTATCGCTCCGTGGAGTTAAGACGCTCCGAGGCCTTTTGTTTGGAGCTGCTAGGCAATCTACGGAGCGGTGATGTGCAAGACTGCGGCTTTGATGCCAGCTTTGGAAGTGCCATGACTTGGGTATAGCTCTATAGAGCTGCTAATTATGCACTGAAAATAAGTTAATTAGTTATCAATTAAAGTCATTATTTCGTTCATTGCGCAGACTCACCATTACCTTATTTCCTGATGCTGACGGTGTCACTGTAATATTATAATGAACATGGCCGGTTCCAACTGACAGTCTAAAAGTTGTTTACATAGTTAATTAAATTTAAATATTCTGCATGGTGATAGGTGTAATGAGCGCAGGAAATTTGACTAGCTTTTAATCTTCAATATTATAAAAACCTTATATAATTATATTTATTGCAGGCGGGCGTCAGATAGTACAATAAAACAAGACGCAGACATATCAATGATAATAATGAACTTAAAAAGTACCAGCGTGGATGGCAATCTCTTGCCAGATCACGGTTTGATGTTTCTTGCAGATTTCATTCCTTCTTAGTCAAAATTTGTAGACGTTTACGACCGTAGAACAGTGTTACTGCAATATAGGATCCTTGCAGTAAATTTGAAATAAATTTCACCAAGTTGGAAGTCTGATTAGGACAACAACTTTACATTAATCTGCTTTTTCGTCGGAGACTTCTCTGGAAATTTTATAATCGAAGTTCGATTTCATATCAACGGTTTCTAGTCATGCATTTGGTGTTAATTGCTGCTGAAATGAGTAACATAAAATCCGTCACGAGCATCATGGAGACTTTGAATATATAATTTCTTAAAAAAATTATGGTTATTTTAACCCATAATAGAAAAAAAATCTGATAATTCCGAACAAATAATCCACGGAGAATATCCTCCAGCATATTATCCTTAAAGAGCATCCTCTAGCTTCGAGCAACTTATTCACGATTGACGGACATCCTATAGTATACTATTACATACAGTAATCGACGAAGAAGAGCGGAGCATCATAGAAAAATAACTTCATACTTTTTAAACACAATTTGATTGAATATTTTTTAATTTCGATCCATTAAAAAATAATTGTACTGGATTAAAAGTAACACCGTAAACCCAGGTAATTGGAAAGACAGTGTTTATAATTGATATATTTACTTATAAGCAAATTTTTGCTAGCAATTCTTGTAAAAAATTTTGATAAATGAGAAAAATCTGAGAAAATGAAACCACATGAAAAAATAATCATAGGGTTAAAAAAAATACTCTCGTAATTGCAGGTTTTTGTCTTTAAATAGGAAACAAAACAAATTATCGGTAAATTGGATCTAAAAAAGCCGGAATAAAATAAATAATTCGAATAAGGATGATATCTCGAGCGCAACTGAGGTGTCCGTAAACACTTTCCCGGAAAAAAAGCAACACGTTACAAGCTAAAAATTAGGAAGTGTAAAGGATTTGGCTTAAAGAAGACAAAATAGCGGATATGTCGATAATTAGGAAAGGCTTGACATGAGCTAACTACTAACTATACTTGGGACAGGAGATCGAGGTAGCCGATAGGCCCCAGCTTTACCTCAAGAGGACCTTCTTCCCGAGATAGGTCGAACTCACTGACTTGTATTCAGGTGTTGTTATAAAGGGTTCACTCTATTAAATTAAAGGGGCGTAGTCTATAATCATTAAACGGGCGTAGTTTTAATCATATTGTGACATGTAACGCTGACTTGAATAAAAACTCGTTTCAAGTTATTACAGTAAGATTAGGAGCAGCAATTTATAGCGGCAATAACCGCAAGAGGTAGGCGACAGATGGAATGGATCTGGCGGACGTTCAGAACGAGAGAAGCGGAACCGATGATTACACTCTTCAGAGCCCTTGTAATACCTATCCTTGAATACTACTGCCAGCTTTGGGCCACGTTCACACTCGGCGCAGTGCGGCAACTGGAAGAGGTCCAACGAACCTTCCCTTCCAGGATCAGAGAGATGGAGTAGTTGAACTACAGTACAGGAGAGGTTGTAGCGACTGAGTCTGTACTCACTGCAGATTAGACGGGAGAGGTATGTCATTCCGTACACATAGAAAATGATAACCGGAATGGCACCAAACTTCGAAAGCGAGACCTTCAGCATTGTGACATACCATAACGAAAGAAGGGGGGAAACTGTGCAGGATCCCCCCACTGCGTTACAGATCTGCCGCCATATTTCAATCCCTGCTGGAAAGATCCCTTTCCTTGGCAGGGCCGCGGCTGCTTAACGTCCTACAAAAGGATCTAAGAGAGGGAGAGATCACCTTGGAGACCTTCAGGAGACGATTGGACTTGTTCCTGGGCACAATCCCTGATCGACCTCCCCTGCACCACTACCAACGGCGAGAAGCAAGCAACAGCATCGTGCATCAGCTGGCCCAAATGAGGGCGGATGCGCGATAGTCAGAAGCGGCGATCAATCGTGGCCTGGGACTGCTACACGTCCGATCCAAATACTAAGGATAAGGCACTGTAGAGGCACGCTGAACGAGGTAGATTATTTGAAGAGGTAGCACTGTTGGAAGGAGGACTTGTAGAGCTTTGCCATGTACACGGGGCTGTAGTTGTATATCAAGTACGACTCCAGCTCGGCTTCAGAGTTGAAACTGTTGTTGTTACTTCGAGCTGCAAAGTTAAATATCAGTGTCATAATTTTTTGAGATACTTGTTTCAAAAAAATTTTGCCAATTTCACAAAACCGAGTTTCATAATATACATAACTGTGCACACCGAATTTCTTTCACTACGAATTGCTTTACTATCTTGTGGTACACATTTACATGCATCCAAAACATGGACATTGGTGTAATTCAGCTGAAGCCTTCCTTCCCTTTGCGCAAGTTTAGTGGAAGATCAGATTTTTTTATTCGCTCTATAATTAAACCCTAAAAAATACTATCCCTTAGAATACTCTCTGAAATCTAGAAGTAGAGATTACTTCTTGGAAATTTTTCATGCCACGAACCCTTCCGGCCTACTAGCTTCACTGGATGTCACTAGTTTGTTCACTGATGTACAGACCGAAGAAACATTAGAAATTTCTGTGAAGAATATGTATTCACAGGAAGCCCTGCCAGCCCCACCTATACAAAAAAATTCCTAATTGACCTTCTTCTTCTCTGTACTTCAGAAAGTAATTCATTTAATTATTTTCTGGCGGATTTTTTCCACAAGACTAACGTACACGATAAATATTTTTCTGTTTTATTTTCAGACTCTATTTTTGCGATAGATGACTCATATAGGTGCCAAATTATCGTCACAAAAATTTCAATGAGAAAGAAGTACATTGCACTATTGCCTTAATGTGAGTTCGCATCAGTTTATCTATCTCAAGGCTACATTCAGTCATCATGCATTACAGCGCGACTAGTGTAGCAGATCAGTAGCCCCCTTCAGTTGTCAGATAGAACTCATCTTAAAACTAATTCAAAGAGCCTCGATCTAAGTTTCCTCAAAAAAAAAAATAAAAACTTTTTGTCAATTATCCTTTGAAATATTGCAAAACAAATTACCTTCTTGTACGAAGACTTTGGACACGTGGCGCTCCAGATCAACAGCGACAGGGGAGTGAGGTATCTTAGCATCGCTTCTCCACTCGTAGGAATTCTTCTCGGGATGCCACTGAGTGCCGTAGATAGGATACGTCTTATGCTCTATCGTGGACACGTACGGCAGTGAGTTGTCGTCGGTGTTCAACGACGAGACGTAATACGAGTCGTTGACGTCGAGCTTCCGGAACGTCTGCGGGAAAAAATCCAGGTTATTGGAAGTAAATCCATTGGGTGCATGGATTGACTCCTTCAGAACGTTAGTAACAGAAAAATAAAGGCAAACGTCAGAGCAAAACAATTTCCGAACACAATGAAGAATGAACATATAAATGAATCCTTGAATAAAGAATAAAAGCTTCCATTGTAGCTTCCATTTCTAAAGCGAAAAAAATGTCCCTAATCCAAATCTCATTCGTTTCTGAATTTCCGAACACTCGCCTCCGGAGTAACGCAGAACTTGTGGAAGTTATAGGTGATGTTCTGGGACTGCACGGCCTGTAGCAGCTCTGGCGATGCATCTTTCCACAACTTAGATTCTTGCCAGCCTTCCAGGAAAGAGTTAGAGTTGTGGAAAAAATAAATACCTGGAACTTCAATTGGGCGATCAATAAAATTAGATCTCGATTTACGACACTTGTTTGTGCGAGCTGCCGAAACTGACACCAAATATCACAAAAAAAATAAACTGTCCTGTATGTATATCATATACCAACACACCAACCGGACTGCAGGTATACAAGGTGAAGGTTAACACACCCACATCAGGTTACTGGTATACAATGTCATGATCATATACCAGGCTGTAGAAACATTTAAACGCACCCACCGGAATGCAGGTATACAAGATTATTATTATTATTATTCCACGAAGAGATTGTCGTGGCGTCTCGTTCAGATCGAACTTCGAGGGCACGTTACAAGCGGCTAAAAAAACACAAGATGATAAAAACAGATGACATCTATGCTAAAACAGAGGACATATGCCAAGACTGATGACGTCTATATTAGAACAAATAACACCTATGCTAAACCAGTAATATCCATGATATTACTAAAATTCAAAGGCTCTACGGAAAAGTTCTTTTTTTAGGCATCGACGAAACAACGTCAGCGAAGAAGCAGATGTCACCGATGCTGGCAGACCATTCCATGTTCTGGCCGCAGCGACCGGGAACGCTCTGTCGCCGACGGTGGACAGACGTGAGGACGGGACGACGAGGTCAGCCTTCGACGAGGAACGCAGTCGCCTTCTAGAAGGCAGATCCGACACNACGGGTCGGAGGCTCGCTGGGGGACACGAACAGTTCGTGCAGGAATGAGGTCGTCGAGCAAAGATGTCAATTCGATATCGTAGAGTTTTGCTAGATCATCCACCGACAGCTCCGACCATGAGTCCGGCCGACCAAGTCGGGACGACTGAAGTCTCCTGCTCAAAACATCGCCGTCGAGATCGCGCCACGGGCGACAGGTGACGGATCTGTACGTTAACGCTGGGCGAACACATGGCACCGTCCACTGGAGTAGTCGGTGGTCAGATATTACGATTTCGATGATGTCAACGGGCAGCAACTGAATGTCGGTACGCGTGATGACAACATCCAGCAACCCGCCAAGATCATGGGTTGGTAAGGTAACGTGACAGACCATGCCGAAGGCAGACAGCAGATCGTTCAGCTGACGCGCCCATTGGTCGTCGGCACGATCCAGTCGAACATTAAGATCACCAGTGATAAAAACGTGACCGGTGAGGGTCACAAGTCTAGTTAAAACATCGCTTAATTCAACAAAAAAATCACGTGTGACAGCAACTGATCCGGGACGATAGATGACGACAGCAACACATGCGAACGAGCCGCAAGCGACCGTGACACACAGCAGCTCAAAGGTGGTGGGTCGGGAGCCGATGTCGAGCCTGGTCAGATTCACGCCGCAGGCGACGGTCGCTAGTCCGCCGTGATTCGTCGCTAGGGTGTTCGGCTGCGCGCGAGGCCGCGCACGCTCGACCACTTGGAGTCCCTCAGCCCGAAGACGCGCGATGGAAACCGAGTCAGCATCATGCCAGGTCTCGGTCAAGAAGACGACATCCAGAGAGCGCGAGCGGCGGATGTGAAGGAACTCATCAACTTTGTTGTTTAGTGAACGGATGTTTAGGCTGCCGAACATTAACCGGCGACACGATTGCGCGGAGTGACGATCGACATGGACGCTGCGCAGGTTATGAGGCCTGCGAGCAGACACAGGTCCACGTTCAGCAGCAGAAGGATCATCCGACGTACAGTCTAGCACAGGTGGCTGCCGTCGTGGCAACGGCCGATTGCCAATTATCACAAATGCACCACCGTCGCACACAACCCGATACAAGGTATACATCATTGCTGCTGCTATCACTATTATTGTTTCAATGGTATTGTTATCACTGTTTTTGGTATCATTGTTGTTACAACATTTGCCACTTCAAACCCCTGTCACTTACGACACTCTGTTATTACTCTTATTATTGTTAAGTTAGATAATGTTATACAATTGTTATTGTTATTATTAAGTTATTGTTAAGTTATATAATGTCAAGACATACCGGGTTGCAGGTGCAGAGGGACGGCACGGTCGATTGCTGCACACGAGGTTAGAAGATTATTCTTCCTGCCAGCCGCGAGGTAGACCAACATTTCGAAACCCAAACAAGTTGCCCACAGCGGCATCGGCTGCCCTCGAGCGTTCGAAGCCATAACCATCTGCCAATGGTTGCATCTACTGTTAATCTCGTAACGGCAATAATACTGGGACTATTTATCCTATAGACCTTGATATTTATTTTTAGGAGAGGCCAATGATCGTCATACCAACGAACTGGACAATGGCAATGATTCGGCGATCAGCTCAAAACAACCAGTTACAGATTACTGTTTATTCAACGGACTGCAGCTACAAATGAAATTAAATTATGCCACTATACGAAAAACAAACTATATAACGTGAAGTCAAAGATTTAAACCTGAAAAATGTTCGAACTTTGACAAAGTTTGGCGGGGACCTCGAATTTCGTACCTGGTAGAGCGCGTCACCCGCTGCCCCGTAGCCGCTCGAGTTGGTGACACTCACGGCACCGCCAGGGAACAATATCCTGGAAATTTATTGATGTTCAGCAACGAAAATATTATATTTGAGGGCTGTCGTGTTTAGGAAAAGTTTCCATTGAATTTAATTGTAACACCAATATAGTTTATTTAACAAACGAGATTAAAAATATTGTAGATATAAATCAGTATTGTTTATTCGATCGCTAACGGACCTGAGCGAATACCCCTAACTTGCCTGCAACCCATAAGTTTCGAGTTCTATGAACAACATATTTGCTAGATGTTAATATGCTCAGTTAAAATGTGGATACAATTAATCTGCTTAGCCAATTGGTAAACAAGAGAAATTGTCCGGCTCTAATTAATTATTGTCTCTTATTATTGTCTCTCCGGAATGGCTGTTCAAAAAATTTTTCGATAGAACATTATGAGAAAATATTTATTCGAAATAAACTATATTATTATTCAAAAAACTCACCCATTGAGAGAAGTTGCAAGCTTTTTATAATATTCGGCGTCCTTGTTTATCCTGCAAAGATGGATAGATGCATCATAAAATATAATCATTTTTTTACACGCATAATGAATGAAAGTCGCAGCAAACAAAGGGATTCGTTTTCGCCGTCCACTCCAGTGGCCAGCTGTAAGATATGTATGTATATCCTACGCATATTAGTCCCGAGTCTGTCAGCCTCGTATTCTAATGTCATTATTGTTATCGTAATTGAGGTGACACGACCACACCCGAGTAGATTCTGTTGTTATTATATCTATCCAATATTATAGAGGCGACACGAACACACACGCCTACATTCCGTGGTCATTATATGTATCCTAGATTAATGAGGAGACACGACTAAACGCGACCACATTCTGTGGTCATTATGTATTCATATTATTAACATAAAACGAACAGACACGATCAAATTCATATTGAGCCCCTAGTTGCTCATATGTCGAGGACCAGGCCATCTCGTCTCTCCTGGCGGAGACCAAGCTCTTGCTCCTGACCCGACGGTGCCCAGGCCCTAGCTCTTCATCAGATTTGGATTAAAACCTAGTTCCTTAGCCGACAAGGACCAGGCCCTAGCGCTTAACCCGACGGAGACCAGGCCCTAGCTCCTCACCCGACGGATTCCAGACCTTAGCTCATAACCCGACGGAGGCCAGACTCCAGCTCTTAAGGCCAGACCTAGCTCAAATTTTCTCACATGATGGGGACGACCCTAGCCCCAGCTGCTTCTACGGTTTTCACGTAAGAGGCGGCGATGTACGAGGTGTAGGAGCTCATGTTGTGTCTCTGCAGAGCTCGCTGTAGAGACCGACTAGGTTCTTGAGACAAGATTCCTGTGATAAATAAGACAAAAGTTAACGGTCTGTGCACGCGCAGCTATTATCATATAAATACGATCAATCCGGAAATTGATTCAATAATTCAGAAAAAATTCAGATAATTCATCTAAATATTTTCATACTATTACTTTGACTTGATCAAACGCAGGATTTCACCTACGAACATCACACCTAGTTCAAAGTTCCCACCTATCACAGGTCGAAGATTCACGGCTTGGGCTGATTTTGGGACTGTATGATTTTCCGAAGATTCGTGTGTCCCGTTTGACATACGTTCAATTTCACGCGTACTGCTGTCATTCGTGGTTGGCACGAAAGTGTTCGCAATGATCAAGACATTATCACCTGTTGACGACTTGACTCTGAGCGACTGTGACGTCCATGGTAAGAGTGACATGCACACCAAAAACACCCACGGTAAAATTATTCGGGTTCTTGACATTTTATGACAGCTGGGGGAAAATTGATGAAATTTCAATTCATTGAGTAAGTGGTTACGGCGATATGGGTATATGGGTTTACGGCTAATATTTTGACTTGCGGTGCTACGGGTTTGAGCACTCAATTTCACAGACTACTCTACCCTATAGCTCACTTCCGTATGAGAAGAAATATAATATTGATGATGGCATCCCGCAACAATGTGGGGCAGAATTCAAGGTAAACGTCGGCTTCCCGACAGACTATAGGGATCCCGCTGTACGAGTGCAATTATTCGCCAGGGTTATTGCGGGAGAGTTTAAAAACTAATTTGGTTAAACGCGTCTTGTACAGAATGCACTGTTAGAAAATTTACCGTTAACGGTATTACCGGCGTTTCAGTGGCCGGTCGCCACGTGATAAGAAACACCGTGTCGCCGTTTTTATTCTAATTTAACACAATAAATCCGTAAAACATCTAATAAAAACGGCGAAACAGTTTATTTTCACGGGGCGACCGGCCACTAGAATGCCAGTGGACCATTTTTTCACCGTTTTTTCTAACAGTGTGAAATTGAGTGGAAGATTTCTTTCATTAAGTAAAAGCGTCCGAAAACAACGTCCTCCTCTGAGTTCACACTGCACTGTATCTGCCATGGTAGTTAGGTGCATTGTCTTGAACAGTGCTGGCAATCTAAGCGAATTTTATCCATTCATGAAAATTCTAGAGCTTTCATTCAAGGAGATTTAGCATGAATGAAATATTATTCAGGGTTAACGGCCCTAATATCAGCAGACACCCTATCAAACTGATTCCAACAACTGCAACTCGAGTGCACTTGGGTACACAATTCAAATCGAGTTAGAACAAGAAGAGATGCTCTCTGATTGAAAATTTAAAAATGTCCTGCATGCTCGAATAATGCCACACTGGTGCAATAAAGTTTAAAAAACGAAATACCTAAGAAAACACAAACAATACGAATAGGGTAGATGGTAAAATGAAAGCAATGTTCTTGATAGCCGCGATGATAGATGACATTTATAGATTTTGTTATCAAGTGGTTAATGGTTAATGTGCACAATACCAGTAGCTGTAAGATTAGGAATTCAAATTACATGGCTTGATAACTAGAAAAGATCCGAGTTCTTTCTTCCACGAAATGCATGCTGAAACTATGGAGAAGCGAAGTTACTGCCGTCTGCCACGTCACGCAGCAAGGTTCCAACATATAACGAGCCGTCTCATACCGCAAACACAAAAATATACAACACAAAATATACAACACGACAGAACAGAAAGAATTCATCCTCAACAAACACTGGCACGACATGTTCACTCAGGACAAAACAGACAACGAAGAATTTGACATCAAACACATCTACACCGTACAAGACCACGTAAACAATATACAGAATCAAATATCCATGCAATAATTGTGGTGGCCTTGCTCGACAAAATGACACATTTACACTATTGGAGATCTTCAGCACCCTTTGAAAACAGTCAGATAGAAAGCACCGGGCTCCACTGGCAATCTGGCATCACAACCTCCCAGCTCAAACATCTCCCCTAAAAATGATAAATTACCTGTTCTACATATAAACGTACTCGAATGCGACCAAATAATTATCAGACTTGCTCAAATATGCCATAATGATATTCCTCCCTAAGCTCAACGCCAAGTCCGAAACTACAGACACAATTATCAATTTAACGTACATGGGAAACTCTTGGAGAAATTAATAAACATGCGAAGAACTCACCAGTCACTATACACACAACACAAGACAACACGGTTTATGGAAACACAGAGGGACTCAAACAGCAATTGCCACATTCCACTAACACTCACCAGACACCGAGTGCAAAGCTAGACACACTGCAGACATAGTACACGTACCTTCGACAAGGTCTGACACACCATGCTCCAATGCAAATTTTTGCTACATAATCTCGGCCCATCTTTCACAAAGTATAGGCAGGCTACTGCAAAAACAGAAGAGCATCCATCATAATATGCAACCACATATGTAGCTCCTGCATACTACTGCACATATGCGTTCACCCACCCTTTACAACTTACACACCCACAACCTCCCACCGCCACTACTCAACACAGACTACACAGCATTTGCTGACGACATTACACAATATTCAGACCCTACATATTTACGCAACAGGATATATACAATCCAAAGGATAAATTCATTCGAAAATAAATGATTCATTAGACCTACCACAGATAAGTTTAAATTATCCCCATCAACAAACGTAAAGTATCTGATATATTCATTTTGATGTACCAATCTGATCTTTCGTTTCCTGAAACTTTGTTTGTAAGCCGGCTCATCACAATTATGAAAGTACACAATTTTTGGAATATAATCGAATAAACTGCTTTGGAATATAATCGAATAACTAGAAGCGAACTGCTCAAATCGAGCTCTACGATAACGTAACCAAATTCAATACAATGACTTACCCGAGTACCAAAGCCTGTTCATAATTTTTCTCCCCTATACCTCTAATTTTATAGCAAAAATTTCCTTATAGAAATCATAACTTTTCGAATAAACATTAATTTTCATTTATACTATACTTTATATACTTTCATAATTTGCAGATTCTTGGTTCTCACACAAACAACTCTTAACTCTTGCTATCTCTTCCAGTATTTTTGAGCTCGACCGTCCGCATGAGCATCAATAGGCTTTTCACTGGTCTTTGTCGTTTCGAAAAGTTTTTCCGACTCCTCTCATTCTTCCGCATGACAGACACATCACACTCATTTAGAGGATCAACTTTTAAAACTGCATAATGTCAAAATTTTCGAAAAATCCATAGATATATCAAATAAGGAATGATGAAAAAACAGCTACCACTTCTGCCCAGTGTTTGGTAGCCACCCGCACCTGGCTTCTTTAACGTCATGTATATCAATATTATTCCTATGGAGAATGACTGGCAGCAATATTACATGTAGCGCTTTTGTGCTACACTGTACATCCACAACATGTCCGAACAATGTACCTACACTGCGTGTACTGTACACTGTGCATCCACCACACGTGCCAACAATGCACCTTCACCGTGTGTATTGTACACTGCACAATGTACATCCACCACACGTGCCAACAATGCACCTTCACCGCGTGTATTGTACACTGCACAATGTACATCCACCACACGTCCCATCAATACACCTTCACCGCGTGTATTGTACACTGCACAATGTGCATCCACCACTGGTGCAGCCAACACTGGTCGCGAAGGAGCGCCCGGTGCAGAAGCGTTGCTATATGCGGACCTCTGCACCGGAAATGCCGTATGCGGACCTGTGCCGTATGCGGACCTGTGCCGTATGCGGACCTGTGCCGTATGCGGACCTGTGCCGTATGCGGACCTGTTCCGTATGCGGACCTGTGCCGTATGTACTGTGATATGCAGTCCTGTTGCTCTATATGCGGACCTGTGCACCGGAAATGCATTAATGCGACGCAGTTTCTAGCTCAGCAACGCTCAGTAATTCACGTTGACGACATGATCATCAGACCATTTCTTATGACCATCCAGGAAAAATTGTGGGTTAGTCATTGAAAATTATGAATACCAGTTCATGCATACATGGATGCATGAAAAATTATTTCTGATAGTAAAATATCAATATTATCGTCGTGAACGGTATAAATAAATCGTTCGAGCGGACTTTTAAGGAATACATGATGTGTAATAATGATCCTGGCTATATTGTAGTTCTAGGTGGGATACTAAATAATTATTTATCCTACATGCGTAAATTTGTTCTCTCTGCTCCAGGTTCCTGCGCCCTGAAATTGAATTAAGAAATTGCAAATTCCTCTGAAACGAAATTGTTGTGCAAACGGATACAAGTCGCAAATGCACTTGCGTGCCTGCCATAATAGTAAAGTGTGCCCCAATATTGCATGTTAGCTTTAGAGGAACCTCGGGGCGTTGAGGGAAAGTTAATACAGACGTAAACAAGGGGCAGCGGTAGTAATAGCCCTCTCAGAATTGACTTTATTGTTTCCCTCTGCCTCTCAGGCATCAAATTACGAAGTTTGCCCGGGCTTCTGAGACGTGGATACGAGAGAGGATTGGTAGGAAAGTAGAAGAGTTATAAAGAACTGTTTTGATAAAGTAGGACGTAAGACACAAGTAGGACAAACAGGTATGTTCATATATGGACTGAAATGCTAATATATAGGGCAAGAAAATAAGCAATACCGGAAAAGACAAGTAGGAAAACAGGTATGTTCTAATATGGACTGAAATGCTAATATATAGGGCAAGAAAATAAGCAATACCGGACAATATTATTTTATTTGTAGTTATTACGTGCAGCCGTGCATGAGGAAACTAAACGTACCCTATTTTATTGGATGTGACAAGCCTCAGCTGACACACAAAAACCGGTTAGCCAGCCATGTAGTAGGGAAAAATCAAAATGTGTTTGTGTTTTTTGTCACCTGCCCAATAGTTCATGCCTGGACTATATGGAACTAAATTCTTTCAACATTTACTTGTGCATGAATGTAAGTATTAGGTTTATTAACTGCGTTATAAGTATGTAGGGCCATAGGGGAAAGTGGGGCACAGTGAGACATAGGACTTATTGGCTTTTATATAATAAAAAATAATATTGAACAGCAGCATAAGGTGGTAATAGCTTAAAAGTTAGTGCTTTGATTGACGTGGCAGAATGACGTGTCGTCCTGTCCTGCAGTCATAAGTCAGAAAAATTCTGTTTCGAGGTGAGGAAACAATATATTTTTCTTCGGGCATTTAATGTGATAAGTGAGCCTACTTTGCGAGCTAATGCTTTTCTGTGTGATTGATTGCTGCATAATACCTTCAAAATTAATTAATTAAAACAAATATGTCTGTTGGTATATCAATATTAACATGACGGCCAAATGATTCCAAAATGGTGGTTTGGGGTGTAATGGGACTGTACGTTTAGAGTTCACTGGAACAGTATCCACGTCCCAGGGTAGGGTTGCC